CATCAATTGGTAATAAACAAAATCTATCAACAAATTCATCAATTGATTCATTAACAGCTTTAGAAGAAATACTACGAAGACAAGAAACAAGAAATAGTACAATTTTTCTACCTCAAAAAGTATGTATATAATTTGGAAGAAAAATCAACCATAGATTTTTTTGTTCTGAGATATTAGATTTATTTTGTTTAGTGAGATAACTGTAACTATAAAAATCGACATCAGTTATTTTTTCTACTATTTTATATACTAACTAACTTATTTTATATAGAAAACAAACTAGTCTGATTGATTTCGATTTTAAGCCTTTGAAAAAAAGAATTATCTCAGTTTCTTCGATTCATATTGTACATAGTTAAATACATTAAAAAAGTATATTCAGATTTTTTAAATATTAAAAATTGAATGACTTGTTCAAAGATGAGATATAATAGAAATATTTCTATCTTTTAGGGAACTTAATCAAACATGGAATATAATACTGCACCACAACCATCTCTTCCTAGTTCTTCATGTTTAAGTTTACGTAATCAAATGAAAATGCTTATACCAAAATCGATTCTTTTATGTACAACTTATTCATGATTTATCTCATTATCTTTCTTCAACATGGTCCAACATCGTTACATTCTCACTAAATATTCAACAAGATCAAATTGATCATCGTCCAATAATAAATGGAAACAATTTTATCTAATCATGATCACTCAACAGCTGGTATTTTTAAAATTCAATCAATGACAGAACAATTTCATCGATTTAAAAATGATTTTTCTTCCATTGAAAATATTAATACTCATGCTATACAATCACAACGTTGTCGATTACAATTTCGCTTACCAAATCATATACAAACACATTTATCATTTGATAATAATAAAAAAATGTTGGATTCGTTATGAATGAGTTCGGTTTACAACGCCTATGCTTTAAATTAATTAATAATACAACTAAACAACAACAACAACAACAACAACAACAACGTATACAGATTTTACCAGTAATGACACAAATTGATGAAACACAAACAACAACAACTTCATCAAAACATAAATCAAAAAGAAAATAATCAAGTGATGTAAGTTAAAAGAAATAATTATCAGAGTATTACATAACTGGATTTCTCACTCACGCATTGCCTATTAGACATACGAGATAGTATTTTTGATCTGAATTGTTCAGCATATTTTGATATATAAGAACTTCGTAATAATACTCATAAAATGAGAAAATGTCGTACATTTTATTTTTTTATATCTTTAGCCATTACTTGCATCTCCATCGGCAATAAATTCACCTATAAACATTCCACCGGCTACTACTACAACTAATTCTTCAGTCGTTCCAGCATCATCTAGTCCATCATCGAGTAGTGTATTTGATGGTTCAATTGATCATGTTTAGATATCATATCCTGAATCTCAACATCATACACATTCAACATCGAATTCTTCTAAACGACCACGTACAAGTACAACTAGTGTAAAACAAATTACTGCAACACCTAAAAAACTTTTTTCATATACACAGTATGACTGGAATTTTCTCTCAACATTATCACCAACGGTTCTTGATTGGCTTTATGTTATTAATGGTATACAAAAGCCAGTAGAAAAATTTGTTCGTAAACGTGAAAAACGTCCTGATGCTATTCTAGCTTATTTTCTTATTGAAACAAAATCTGTATCAATCTTATTACAAAGTAAATTCTATGAATTATTAACTCCAAAAACAAAATATCTTCTTTCACATCCTGTTTGTTAACTTGTTTTTGTAAACAATTTAATTGTAATACTCAAATTAATATGAATCTTCAACTAAATATTATACCAGACTTACAATTACTTAAACAAGGTATACGTGTATCATGTCGTGAATGGACTCAAACAATTAAACAACAACCACATCAAATTATTGCTAAACCACCTTCATCATTAACAACAACATCACCTATTAATAATATATTCTTAACAATTAGTAATGATCAATAACAACCATCAGCTGTTGTACGAACACCAACAATGGTTGATCGTGTTCAACATTTAATTGAACATGAATTTGTTACAGCTCATCCACGTCATCCAACACATATACCAACTAACAACAAGATGGATGTGATAATTCAATAATAAATGGCTCAGCTATTCGAAGACGTACAATAGTACAAAATACACGATCAAATACAAAGAATAAATATACAACGATTGAAATTAATAATGATTTATCTGAAGGAGATGGTCGGCGTGCATCAAGTTTTCTAGGTAAAACTTATTTTAAATTCAAATTATTAATTTAGTTTTTTTATTAAAGCGGATGCTATGCGACGTTTTGAACCAACAGTTAATGTAAGCAATACAAATGGTACCAAACGTTTAAGTACTGGTCATGATGAATCAGATTTTGAAGTTAATACAAGTGGTATACGATTAAATGATAGTAATCATGATAATGAAGCAATTATTTTATTATACTGATATTACACGTAAACCTTGCTTCAGCACAAATTAAACGATCTGATGTGAAAATTTTACCAAATGAATCTCAATTATTAATCAATCATTCTCCAGTATCACCACCATCAGTCGTTCAATTTCGTTTATCACATATTTATTAATCAATAGTAAATACATCAAATGAATTATCAATACTTTCCGTAACTAATTTAAGTGTTCAAAGTGTTTGTAGACAATCACTTGAATATAGTCAGTTACATCCTGCTGATGTATAAGCTGGTATTCATGTTCAACGTGTACAACAAGAAGTAAATTTATCATTCATACGTCTTTTTTATCAATTTTATACAGTTGTTTGTAATGCACTTGAATATACAGGTATTGATGAAATAACAAAACCAGATACAAATGCAAATACAAATGAACAACAAAATAATTTACAAGATAATTCTACTATTCTTACACCTGAAAATGGTATTCAAACTCTTGTTTTAAGATCACTTGACCCGAATATTCTTCATCTTGATAATAATGAATTAGATAATTCTGAACGACAATGTTAGAAGAAATTACATGAATTCGTTTCTAATGATCGAATAGTATCAGAAATAAAACCAATTCAATCATTAATAACAACACGAAAACAACAACGAAGTGGTTCACAACCACCAAATGAACATGTACTACAACAAAAAAATCCAACACGTCATATGGCAATAAATGTAACAAATAAAATACTTTTATTTTCATCATTTGGTTAGTTAATTATTGATGAAATACACTGTGCAGCTTCTTTAGGTGGTTTAAAAGTTGATGGTTGTATGAGAAAAATTTAAGGAAATGTTAATTTATCACAAAGACTTCGAGCTTTATATTCAGCAACAAATAATCAAAATACAAGAGCGTAAGATGAAGATTAATTTTACACACTTAATTAAATTTAATATTCAGATATGATGGTTCATTAATTCTTCAAATTGGTTCAACATCACTTTCTTTAAAAGAAACTCTTTCAACGTCTACCGATAATCTTCCATCGACAAATATTCCAACAGTTCATCCATCATCTTCCAGTACTACTTCATCCAATCGACAAATATCTGTTCTTGATATAATTGTTGGCAAATCTCAAGCATTAACATTTCTTCATCACGTGGTGTTTATTTAATATTAAATGGTGTTACAAATATTCGTACAATTGTAACGGATGTACCATTAAGATCACAAGATGTTCATGATCTTGTTAATCGTGCTGGTCGTTTAATAACATCGTATGTTCAAGAATTTCCTTTCGATGATACACAACAAACATCTTCTATACCAACAACAACTAATACAGATAATGAATTCGTTAATACAAGTTTAAATGATACTATTGAAGAACCTACTACACCAATTCCATTAGAACAAACAATAACAAGAAAACTTTTAAGTACACATCGTAAAGATACAATTAATCGTACTATTAATCCACGTTCATTAAGAACTCAGCAAAATATATATACATCATCAAAACGACCTATATTAGAAGTTCATGTAACAACACAATGTCAACGAATGACATTTTCTACCACACCTCTTTCAACATTAAAAGTTCAATATAAAATAGGTATTGTTGAAGGTGTTGCTAATATTGATGGAATGAAATCACGTTTACAGCTATTATACATGAACATGCATTACATTTTTAAAATAATAATAATCATGATCATCAACAACCTCCAACAGTTAGTTCAGATAATCATGTACGAATTAATTTTCCTGAAATATGTTGTTATGAAAATTATTCTATTCAACAAGAACAAGAAAATAAAACAAAAGATCATTTAAATCTTCGTACAAAAATTGGGCTATGGGTCGACAATTGTATGAAAGTGAACCTGTTTTTACTCGATGGATTCAATTGATCGATGCTGAAATGACAAAAACAACAATGGTGAGTGGCGTCTGCTGGAAGAATTAATTGGTAAAACAAGTGAAGACGAATCTCGTATTAATGATACAAATATTTCTCAACCAGCTTTATTCGCTATTCAAGTTGGACTCGCTGCTTTACTTGTCTCATGGAATATTTATCCTCCAACAATCGTTTCACATAGTGCTGGAGATCAGGCAGCTGCTTTTGTTGCTGATCGTTTAAGTTTAGAAGAAACTGTTCGTATGTTAGCTATTTCAATGGGTAAAGAAGAAGTAGAAAATAAACTTCTTAAAAGTATTGAACATTTGGCTTGTATTGCTGTTGTTAATAGTCGTCGTCGAGTAACAATAAGTGGTGATAAAAAAACAATTGATGAAATACAACAAATACTTTCAATCTCTTATCCAAATGTATTTGAAACATGTGTTCGTATTGAAAATGCCTTTCATCATATCAAATGAATCGATCTGACATTAAAAAAGATATGTTATTATCATTAGAAGATATTCGTGAATATTCAATACAAGATCAAAAAAGATGTTTAATCTGATAAATGTGCACAAGCAAAACTTTATTCAAGTGTTACTGATGATAATACGCCAGTTGATAGTCGAATGTATGAAAAAACTGTTCGATTTTATGATGCTATAACATTAATTATAAAATGATGAAGCAACAAATGTTTTTCTTAAAATTTCACCACATCCAGTTTTAGTAAAATCAACTCGTGAATGTTATGAATTAACAAACCAACAACAATCATCGCCACTTATTCTTCTAACATTAAAAAGAAAAGAAAATGAACAAACAAGTGCAACATGGAAAAGTCTTATTAATATTAACTTACCACAACATGCTTTTTTAAAAGATCATAAAATTCAAGGTGCAATTCTTTTTCCAGCAGTTGCTTCTCTTGAACTTGCAACAGCTGCTTGTCATCAATTACTTTCATCAAAAGAAGATGATCAACAACAACCAACAATTATTTTTGAGAACGTTAATTTTTTTAAAGCACTTATTCTTAATGAACATGAATTGATGGAAGTATTTAGACAAATAATTATGCCAATGCGTGAATGGTATATTATATTTTGTAATCAAGATAATCGTAATAAATATTCATTAAATGAATTTACTTTACATGCTCAAGGTAAAATTGAAATAGATTCTAAACAACAAAAATCATTGATAATACCTGATAAATGGACCATACAAGATACAACAAGTGCTTATGCACATCTCTCAACACGCGCTTATCAATATGGATCTAGTTTTCAAAAAAATAAAAACATAACGTGGTACTTCAACTACAATTATATCTCAATTATCAAATGATAATAATAATTGTTCATCTTATTATTTACTGCATCCATATCTAGTTTTATTACCAGGTATTGAAACAACATTTCTTCCAGTACGTATTCAAAAATTTATTTATTCAAATAAAACAAAAATAAAAATCAATCAATCAACAAACATTGAAGTACGTGGAAAGTATCATGATAATATATGTGGTACAAGTCAAGAAGAAATATATAATCTTGATTTATGGATATTTCCAATGGATAATAAAATAGAAGAACCAATATTTACTTCTGAAGGTGCTGTTATTCAACAATGTTCAACGTGTATAATCTGGTCGATGGTCTATGGAAAAAACAATTTATGATAAATGAAATCTAACAACTGATTTACCTAATGAAGATCATAAACTATATTTAAATACAATTATAAAAGATTATTGTATGAAAAGAGTATCGATTAATTCACCAATAATAAAAGATAAATCAGATTTACTTCCATCACCTAAAATTATTCTTAATAATCAACTTAATTCTATTAGTAATCAAGATTTAATTGAATCGATAGAACCATTTAATGAATTAGCTGCTTATTATGCTTAAATGGCAATTAAAGATCTTGATTTAGATCAAATACATCATCCATTATTAAATGCATGTCATTCTCTTGCTTCAACTTTACATGACAGAGTAACATGGCATTCAACACAACTTCGTCTTGTTCAATTAATTGAACGTTTTCCTCGTTTAAAACCATTTTTAATAATATTAAATAAATATGGGTTACATTTAAAAGATATTCTTAGTGGAGAAAACAATGGTTTAGATATATTTGTTGATGATGATGATGATGAAATTGGAGAAACTTTTCAACAAGTTAAATTCCTTCGAAGTGCAACTAAAACACAATAAATTTTTCATTCGATTTGTCAACATTTACAATTACAATATGAACAACAACAACAAACTAAAGATAATTCAGTTGAGAATTATCGATTACGTATATTGTGGTTAACTGGTAGTGATTGTTCAGATGTTTTACCTATTCTTAATATTTTCATTAATTTATCATAACAAACAGGTTTATTAACTGATTTACATTATGCAGATTCTGATCCAATACAACTTGCAAATGCTCAACAAACATTTAATACACATATAATTAATCAAAGTAATTTCTCTATTATTTATGATGAAACAATTGATTTATATGATAGTAAAATACTTGAAAAAATATCGATAGAATCATTTGATATTATATTTTCTTTCAGTCTATTTCTAGGAAATCAAGATTTAACAAATGCTTTAATTGATCTTCATCGTTTACTTGTTCCAAATGGTCTTCTTTTATTACTTGAATTAGTTCATGTTCCACTTTATTTTGATCTTATTTTTGGTTTTTTTGATCAATGGTGGTCATCTGATGATAATAATCGTGCATTAAATAATATTCAACAATGAATGATATTGTTAAAACAAATCGAAGGATTTAATATTATTGAATCAACAATAAATCAAAATGAAAGTACATTAATTATTAGTCAAAAAACAACATCGAATGAAATATTACAAAGACTCGATGAACGAATAAATCAAACATGGTTAATATTTACTAAAGATGATTAAAATAATAAAAATATTTCATATTCAAAATTCGACATGAAATATTATTTGTTCTGCAATACCAATTTTATTAACTATTTATAAACAAGTATCTATTATTTTTGCATGGCAACTTGATCAAACATCACTTGATGAAAATAATGATGAGTTAGCATTTAAACAAAATGAAGAACTTATATGTGGTACATTATCACGTATTCTTCAAATAATTAAAAAATCATCACCATATTTTTATCCATTTGTATATATTCTTACAGATCATGCTCAATTTAATAATGATTCTAATCTTAATATAATTCCATCACCATTTATTGGTCTTGCACGAAGTTTAATAACTGAATATGAACGACATCGATTACAACTTATTGATCTTCAAACATCATTAAATAATAGATTAATATTTATTCATACTTTAATTGAATATATGATTGATTCAAGATATTCAAATGATACTTGTGACGTTGTTCTTCGTCTTAATCATGCAAATCAAAATCAAGTTCAACATTTAACATGGCATTATGAAATGTTACAAAATAATGATGAACAAGAGAAATCTAAATTAGAACAAATATCTATTATTCCTAAACGAGATGCAGATCAAAAACCATTTCGTCCTTGTGTACCACAATCCCGTTTTCTTTCTGAATTAACATGGAATGAAGAAGATAGAGAAAAAGAATTATTACCAGCAGGTATGGTAGAAGTTCGTGTTCATTGTGTTGGTATTAGTTTTCGTGATGTACTCAAATCACGTGGTTTGTATCCACATACACGTACTTTTGCACAATCTGATGAAAATCAACCAAAAGTTAATCGAGACACAGAACCAGGTTCAGATTTTGTTGGTACTATTGTACGTGTAGGTCCTACAACAACTAATTTTCAAGTTGGTGATCATGTTGTAGGTGCTACTAGTCATGGTACATATCATTCTCATATTATGATTAATTCACAACTTATAATACGTATTCCATCTGATTTTCCTCTTACTGATGAACAATTATGTGGTATGCCAACTCCACTTTTAACAGTTATATATTCTCTTAAATATCGTGTTCATTTGCAAGCTGGTCAAACTGTTCTTATTCATGCTGCAACAGGTGCTGCAGGACAATGGTGTATTCAATATTGTCAATATATTGGTGCTCGTGTTATTGCTACAGCTGGAACTGAAGAAAAACGACGTTTTCTTCATGAATATTATGGTATTGAACATGTATTTAATAGTCGAGATACTTCTTTTGTTAATAATATACGTGAAATTCTTCCACAAGGTGTTGATGTTATTGTTAATTCATTATCAGGTAATTTATTAAAAGAATCAATTAAATTATTAGCATATCACGGTAATTTTGTTGAATGGGGTAAACGAGATATTTATCATAATGGCAATTTATCGATGTTTCAATTACGATCAGATTGTAGTTTTCATGTGATTGACTTCGCTGGACTTCTTGATCATATATCACCTCTTATTGGTATTATGCTTAAAGAAGCAATTGATTTATTTATTCAACGTAAATTACGTGCTGTTGAACCAACAGTAACTTATGAACCATCTCAAGTAATAGAAGCATTATTAAGATGTAATAGTGGTCAAGTTATGGGTAAAACAGTTTTTCGTATAAGTTCATCTGATCAACCATTAACTATTAATAAAAAACAATCTAATAGTTTATTAAAAGGTAATCATATCTTTTTTTTTTCTTTTAATTATTATTTTTTATTTCTTAATCAATAGTTGTAAGTGATAATACAATGTTTCCATCAGAAGTTTGTAATCAAGGAACAATTTTAATATCTGGTGGTTTTGGTGGTCTTGGCTTAACAATGTCTCGATGGATGATTGAACAACGAGGTGTTAAACATATAGCACTTGTGAGTCGTCGAACATTAACTGAACTTGAAAAACCTTCGAACCCACAATATGATGAATGGTTAAGATTAAAACGAACAACAAAAGAATATAATGCTCATGTTGATGTTGTTCAAGCAGATGTAACAAATTTTCAACAAGTTCATGATTTAATTGAAAAATTTAGTAAAACCTCTAATCCTCTTCGTGGTATTATTCATAGTGCTATCGTTGCAGAAGATCGCGCTTTAAATAATTTAACACAAGACCATTTATCACTTGTTTTACCACCAAAAGTTCGTGGTGCTTAGTATCTTCATCAAGCTACACAACTTCTTCATGCTCCTATTCATTTCTTTATTATGTTTTCATCAATTCGAAATCATTTACTTGAAGTTTCATCTGCTGGTTATAATGCTGGTAATCAATTTCTTGATGCACTTGCTCATTATCGTTTTGAAAAACTTAATTTACCAGCACTGTCAATTAGTTTACCAGCTGTAAGTGGTGCTGGAATGTTTCATCGTCATAAAGAAATGCTCAGTACTTTGAAAGAGACACAAGGTTTTGAATTAATGCCAACAGTAACTGTATTCGAATTAATTGAATGTTTTCATCAAACTCAAAAGATTTGTCCATGTCCTGTTATTTTTGCTGTTAATTGGCAAACATTACATCGAAACTATCCATCATTAGCTACATCTTATCTAAGAAAAATAGTTGATCAACGTTATAAAGAGATGAAATTTGATCAAATAGCATCATCATCATCATCATCAGGAAAAAACAATTCCGCTGAGTCTAGCATGAATAAAAAAGAAACAATTATTGAACGAACTCAATCAGCTGTTGCACGATTATTAGGTGCAGCTAGTGTTGATCGTATAGATGTTGATCGTTCACTTGTTAGTCAAGGTATGGATTCATTAGCTGCTGTTTCATTATATAATTGGTTAGGTCAAGAAACTGGCATTTATATACCATTAGTTGATCTTCTTCAAGGACTTTCAATTGAAACGATTGCAACACTTGTTTATAATAAACTTAATGAAAAAGAACAAACAAAATCATCAGCTGCAAAAGAACAAGATTCAGATTTTGAGTTGATTAATGAAAATGCAGTTCAATATTCTGATATATCAACATATACTGGTTTAGAAAATATCATTTGTCTACATCGTTCGAATCAAAATAATACTTCAACTCTTTTTTGTATTACTCAAATATCAAATGATAATAACAATGAAGATTTATTTACATTTTTTATTGATAAATTATCTAAGCAAAAAGATGAAACATCATCAAATGATATCTATGCTTTACAAATACCAACAATAACATCATCATCATCATCATCATCTATATCTATATATGCTCAAAATCTTATTACACAAATGCGTCGTATTCAACCATGTGGATCTTATCAAATAGTAGCTATTCGAAACAAACCAGAAGAAACTATTGCTCATGAAATGCTAAAACAACTCAAAACACATTCACTCATTACTAATACGCAATTACATCTTTTAGATGCTCGCAAGTAAAATATATATTCACAATTATTATTTATTCAAATATTTAGAATTTAGTCACTACAAACTCGTTATTATTTTTTTTTTCTTTTTCATTACCCATGTGACAGTTTTAGCTAAAAAACTTTCCTAAAAAGTACTATTCATATTTTATTTTGAACAGTTTTATTTACTTGCAGTACTGCTATATAGTACTTTTATTATATATTTTTTGATGTATTAAACTAACATATTTTTTTTTATTATCTAATATAATATCATATAACAAAACTCAATCAATTCTCTTGTTTCATTTTAGAGTATTATCAGAAGATTGGACTTTTGATAATAATATCACTCTCATATGATGTGATCATATTCTTATTTCATATTTTCAAACATTTATTTACTTTTTCTCATCTTCTTTCTTTAATTTCTAGATTCTATTAAATTACTTATTTCACATTAAAGGATTGATTTCTTTATTATACAATGCTTTCACGCAAACGTATCATAGCAAGAACAAATGTACATAAAGAACCGGAATTTACAACTTCAGAACGAACAGAAGCTGTTGCTTCATTTGTTCAGCAAAGAATTTGGCTTCATGAACAGCTCTATTTTCATTCTTCTGACTTTTCTGTCTACAATATTTTGGTACCATTGATAGTCAAACAAGGTTCATTGTCGATCAAACGTATTCGTTCAATTTTACTCACATTAATTGAACAACATAGTGTTCTTCGTACTGCTGTTCGTTTTAATCCACAAAGTAATCAAATCGAACAATATATTCAAGCTGCTACCCATGAAATTTATTCATTTCAACATTCACATGGTATTAGTACATCAGAAGAGCTTGATCGATTACTTACCAAGGAATCGATAGGAAAATTTTTCGATTTTGAAAAAGGCAAAGTGTTAAGATGTCATATAGTGCAGCGACAAGATGATAATAATAATGCTGATGGTTTATTATATGAAAATGATATAATTGCTCTCAGTTTTCATCATATTGCATTTGACAATAGTTCACTTATGGCATTTATAAAAGCATTCAAACAAATAGATTTGGCTAATGAGCAACAACCAATACTATCAGTTCCACAATATATTGATTTTGCATTATATGAACAAGCATTGTTAGCTGATACAAATATAGATTCAAAAATGAATAAAGCACGTCGTTATTGGTCAAATCTTATGAATGGTTATGATTGGAATCGAATACAAGATTTAGTACCTCATGAAAATAAAAATGATCAAATTCGTTCTGGTCGTGCTTATTCAACTGCATTTAGTTTTGATCAAAATATTGTTGATGCAATGATTTCTTTTGCTTCATCAAATAATCTAACAATGTTTTCATTATCTCTTGCTTGTTATTATTTATTTTTATATAAATTAACTAATATGGATGATGATGATTTATGTGTTGGAAGTGTTATAGCTAATCGAACAAAACAAGAAATGAAAGATATGATTGGCATGTTTGTTAATCTTGTACTATATCGAATGAAAATGGAAGCAAATAATTCATTTGAATATCTGATACGAAAAATACAACAATTAAGTAGTGATGTTTTAGAACATTCTTGTTTACCTTATCAACATATTATTAATTCACAAGATCAACAAAATCATCAAGTATTACCTTCAACATTATTTCAATATGAATCTTTAGTATCATCAGTGACAGCAAAGAATAATATTGAATCTAGTACTATTGAAGGAAATTATGTTCTTGCTGTTTATTTTGATCGAGATCGATCACATGGTAATGGTGTTGCAGCATTTGATCTTACTTTTACAATATCACATGATTATCATGTACGAACTACAGAATGTTTTCTTGATTGTTCAATTGATATATTTAAAAGCCAAACTAATGTTGATCTACTTGCAAATCGTTTTCAATATATGCTCAAACAACTTTTCTCTTCTTCTTCTTCTTCAGTTATTCATGAACCAATCTATAAATTATCCATTGTTCTTCCAACTGAACAAGAATTTATTCACCAAATGAATGATACAGATATATCTGCAACTTATTCATGGCCGAATACTGTTCATGAATGTTTTGTTCAACAAGCACAATTATATCCACAAAAATTAGCTCTTGAACTCGATGAACAATCACTTACTTATAGTGAATTATTATATTCTGTATATTGTTTAACAAATCATTTAACTGATAAAATTCAACCAAATGAAATTATATGTCAATGTGTTGAACGGTCTTTTGAAATGATTATTGGTATGTTAGCAATCTTATCAAGTGGTGCAGTTTATTGTCCATTATCACCTTTGGATCCACCAGAACGACTTAAAACTCTTATTGAAGATACATCTGCAAAGACTCTTGTTATTCATAGTTTTACTTGGCAAACAATTCTAATGACTCATACATCATGTAATCTTATTATAACAGATTCATTTATTATGTTCAATCATATTAATTATAATAATGATCATCATATTATCAAGCCAATATCTGTTACATCTGATAATCTTGCGTATATTATTTTTACAAGTGGAACAACAGGAATACCTAAAGCAGTTATTATTTCACATTCTTATCTACTTTTATATGTTCAATCTTCTGTTGAAGTTGATGCATTGCGTACAACTGATAGAGCTATACAATTATCATCATGCACTTGGGATGTTCATATTCATGAAGTATTTGGTACTCTCCTTATGGGTGGTACTGTTATACTTTTACGTTCAGAACAAGGAAATCGTAATATGGATTATTTATCTCAAATTATTGAAATTCATCAAGCAACATATGTTTGTATTGTTCCTACATTACAAATTCTTTTGTTTGATATTGTAGAAGCACAAAAAGCAGTTCAGCGACTCAATACTCTTCGTTTAATATGGTCTGTAGGTGAGGAATATTATTAATCTTCTTTTATCAAATATTCATTTGTTTATATATATATATATATATGTTCTTGTGTAGGTGAACCAATCTCATGCCGTTTTATTGCTCGAATTCTACCTATGTTACCTATTGGATGTCAATATATAAATTTTGGTGGTGCTACAGAAGGTACAATCGCACAAATATTTCATGTTGTAACAAAAGATGATGCATTATCTGAATCAGGTACAGTTCCAGTAGGTCAACCTATGCCTTATTTTCGATGTCATATATTGGATAAATTTCTACAAATTATACCAATTGGATACATAGGTGAACTTTTTACAAGTGGACCTATTATGAATGGTTACTTAAACAGGCCTGATCTTAATACCAAAGCGTTGGTTCAACTTCCAAATGAACCTGATAAAAGTTATAGAACAGGTGATTTAGCTCGATTAATACCTTCAACTGGTAAAATTCAATTATTGGGTCGTAATGATTTTCAAGTGAAAGTAAATGGACAACGAGTAGAATTAGAAGAAATTCAAGCAGTTATTTATCAATCTAATTCATCAATTTCTAACTGTGCTGTTGTTAAAGTAGTTGAACGTGGACGAGACCATTTAATTGCATATATACAATTAAACAAAACATCTAAATCAGTTCCGTTTGATGAAAAATTAATTCGTATTAATTGTCAAGATCATTTACCACAATATATGGTTCCATCTCTTTTTATTCTAGTTGATCAATTACCATTTAACTCTAATGGAAAACTAGATAAAGCAGCACTTCCTAAACCTAATCTATCATCATTACTTTTACCAATAAATAATGATAAAATTTCTAATGATCAAGACAATGAAATATCAATGACAAATGAACAACAGCTTGTACATGATCTTTGGTGTGATATATTACAATTGGATGTAGACTCAAAAATACCTATTAATCGTTCATTTTTCTCATTGGGTGGTAATTCATTAGCTATAATGCGTCTCTTTGCACAATATCAAATAAAATTTTCTCTTGATACTAAATCATCATCATCATTTAATATTGCTTCTTTATTTCGTCAACCAACTATTGCTGAACATACTCAGATTTTTCAACAATGGCTTAATCATACTTCTTCTCAAACTCATCAACCAACTCAATTATGGTCAACTCTAAATATTTGTCAAGGTAATCTATAATTTTATTTTTCTCTTTCTCTCTCTCTATATATAAATAAAATCTATTGTTTATTTTAGCTGAAGCATCATATGGTCAACAACGTATTTTTGTTGATCAGACTATTCGTTTTTCAAATGAAACATCTGTTTATAATATTCCTTTAGTTTATCGTATCATATCTAATTCGAATAGTCAACAGATTACAACTGATCGATTACGTCAAGCTATTGATGCAATTATTGCTAAACATGCCATACTTCGAACATCATTAGATTGGAATATAGATACAAATGTTTTAGTTCAATATATTCAACAACTTAATTATAGAAATCAATATGAATTTGTAATTAGTTATGTTGAAAATGATGAAGAAATAACAAAAATAATTAATACAGAAATTACAAGTTCAAAATTATTTGATATTAATCGAGGCATTGTATTACGATGTCACATAATTAAATATAGTTCTTCCAGAAAAGATGAAGAAATATGTTTAGAAAACAATGATATTATTATTTTTAATCTCCATCACATTGCATTTGATGGTGCTTCTCGACGAATATTTTTTAGTGATCTTAAATATAATTTAGAATATGATAGTACATTAATAAATAATGAAAATCAATTTCAATACATTGATTATTCAGTTTATGAAAAGCAAATGGATATAATATCATCTTATCATTTCTGGCAATCACATCTTGATGGATTGAATTTAGAACGTCGTATAATGTTACCTTTTGATCGACATCGTTTATTAGCTGATCAACATTCAGGTTTTGCTCATCTTATTGATATTCCATTTGATAATGATTTAATACATTCATTTCTTGATTATGCTTCTTCACAAGATATCACACCATTTCAATTAGGTCTTACCATATTTTATACATTTTTATATAAATTAAGTCAGAATCAAAATGATCTATGTATTTCATGTATTCATGCTAATCGATATAGAACAGAATTACAAAATCTAATTGGTATGTTTGTTGCAACATTACCACATCGAATTCAGATTCATCCTACTTATTCATTCAATCATCTTATCAAACAAGTTCAAAATGAATTTTATTCAATTCTTGAACATACACATTATCCTCTTCAACAGATACTTCAAGATTTAGATTATAAACATTCATCTGCTGCTTTTCTCAATATATTATTTGATTTCATTACTTATTCATCTGATACTGATCTTCTATCTGTAAATCAAACACAATTTCAACCAGTATCATTGAAACAAATGCAAAATGTTGTTAAATTTGATATGAAACTATTATTTTTTCATGATCCAACAGTTCAAAATCAAACAATATCATGTTCTCTAATCTGTTCACAGGATGTGTTTGATAGCGAAACAGTAGAAGAATTATCAAAACAATTTCAACATCTTCTTTCACAATTGTTTATTAAACATCCATCTTCATCTGATTTAGTTAATCAACCAATATCGAAATTATCTTTTTGTCGAGAAAATGAATCTAAAGAAATACAACAAACAATCTTTCGCCGATTACCTAATATTAAGAATGAAGGTATGATTATTTGTATAGACTTCTATCTTATATAGTCTTTGTTCTGTTAAGGACCGGCTTCTTATGCACAATCTCGTATTTGGCTTGATGAACGAATTCGATTCGATCCAGATAAAGCACAAGTTGCAATCTATAATATGCCTTTTCTCTATCGTCTTCATTCAAAACATACATTATCAACTACAGAACTTTACCATGCACTTCAACTTATTGTTAAAAAACATCAATCACTTCGAACATCAATTATTTTCGATAATGAAACAAATAAACTCATACAACGAATTATTGATATCAATGATCACACTAGAAAACTATTTACATTTATTGAAAGTACTTTCGAAACAGATGAAGATCTGAATAAAATTATGTATGATGAGAAATGCAACTCTCAACTTTTTCATCTTGGTCAAGGTCTTGTCTTTCGATGTCACATTCTCTATTATAAACAAATTTCTTCAAATAATCTTCTTTGTGATAAAGATATAATTATTTTTAATTTTCATCATGTTGTATTTGATTTCCCATCAATGAAAATATTTCTTCATGATCTCAATCAAGCATATATAACGAATCAACTACCTATCAATCATAATACTGATCTACGTTATCTTGATTGTATATATTTCTCATATTTGTCTTTGTTAATAGATCGATCTTATCTCTTTTCTTTTCTTTTTATTTAGATGCTCTTATTGAACAACAAATGCCAATGACTAGTGCAAGTATGTTTTGGCTTGATACTCTTCTTGGTTGTAATCTTGATCGATCTTTATCATTACCCTGTGATCGACATCGTCTCTCAAATGAACATAGAACTGGTCATACAACATCAATCTCATTTGATTTTGGTCAAGATCTTTCATATGATTTTCTTAACTATGTATTAACAAACAATATAGAACTTCAACATCTAGCACTTGCCGCTTATTATATGTTCTTATTTAAATTAACTAATGGAGAAAGATATATATATGTATTGGAATGAATACACATACTCGATATAAAGATGAACTTAAATCAATCATTGGATTATATGAAAATCTTATTCCATTGCGATGTCAATCAGATCGTAATGATTCATTTCATCAACTAGTTGAATATGTTCAAGGAATGGCAAGAAATTGTATGAAATATTCATATTTTCCTCTTCAACATATTCTTGCACAACATTCTGATTGTTCAAAGCCTACATTTCTTGATGTGTCTTTTGATTTTGTGATTATTGAAAAGAAAATAATGATTGGTAATAGTGAACTTTGTAGTATTCCATTATCAACTACAATGAATGAAGATGAAGATGTGACCAAGTTTGATTTTATTCTTACTATTCAATATGATCTCAACATAAATCAATTCTCATGTATAATTAATGCATCACTTGATTTATTCAATCAAGAGGCAATAAATAAAATTTCACAACAATTTCATCCAATATTATATGATCTGTTTACATCTGTTAATGATAAAATGAAGAATAAATCAATCTATGAAATATCAATAATGTTACCTAATGAAAGATTACTTATACAATCAATGAACAATACACAAGTATTGTTTCCTTCTGCCACTTGTATGCATCATGAATTTATTTATCAAGTAATACAACATCCACAAAAAATAGTTGTTGAACTTGATGAACAGTCATTAACATATACAGAACTTTTATATTATGTTCAACAACTTTCTCTCGTCTTAATTAACAAATACCATGTGAAATCGGGTGATATTATTTGTCAATGTGTAGAGCGAAGTTTATCTACGGTAAATATATTTAGAAAATATTGTTTACAATAATATGTGTGTAATATATCCTTTATTTCTCTTTAGGTCACTGGCATTTTATCAATTATTATGGCTGGTGGTGTCTATTGTCCTTTATCATCACAAGATCCTTCACAACGTCTACAAATTCTTGTGAAAGAAATTCAAAGTCATTTAGTTCTTGTTCATTGGTTTATACGCATTCTTTTTGAAATCGATATTGTAACTTTAAATATTGATACAATTATAAATAAAGAAGCAAATTCTACTAATATTCATCTGAATCAAATGTCAGATGTACCAATAACATCAAAAAATATTCTCTTTGTAATTTTTACTAGTGGATCAACTGGTATTCCGAAAGCGGTTTGTATAATATCTATTCTTTTTTGACTATTTGTATTTTTTTGGTGTATTCATTTTTTATTAGGTTCAACTACGCCATCGAAATTTTACTCGATTTTTACGCTCATTTGTTTGTGTTGATATGTTAATAAAAACTGTACAATAATACAGATGGCTCGATATTCTTTTGATAATCATCTATTAAGTCTTGTGGATACAGTAATTATTGGAGCTACATTAAAAATGCTTCGACCAGAAGATCATATGGATTTAGATTATCTTGCAGGAGTATTGAATGAAAAGCAGATAACTGTTATGCAAGCTGTTCCATCTTTATGTAATAGTCTATTTAATTTTCTCAATACTACTAGTCGAAAATCGTCAGTACAATGGCTACGAACTGTATGTAGTAGTGGTTAGTAATTGTTCTATTATTAGCATATTCTTTTTAGATTAGTCTAGCATAGGTGAAGTTCTCAACAATAAACTAGTTAATCTATTAAAAAGTCAAGTGAGAAGTGAATGTCGAATTCGAAATCATTATGGTCTAGCTGAACTTACTATTAATTGTACCAATCATCTAATTGATCTAAACAAAGATCAAACAGATAGTCCCATAGGTCAATCTCTTCCCAATTATCATTTTTTAATATTAGACAAGTTCTTACAAACTGTTGGTATTGAACAGGAAGAGAAACTAGTTGTTGGAGGTGTTAATGTTTTTGCTGGATATCGTGGTCGTGATGATTTAACAGCTAACGTAATGATTAATATTAATGGTTAAATATTTTATAAAACAGGTGATCTTGTTCGAATGAATAACAATGGATTGATTCATTATGTTGGTCGGAGAGATTTTCAAGTGAAATTACGTGGACAACGTATTGAATTACAAGAAATTATACAATGTTTACTTATGTTAACATCCATTACTGCATGTGTTGTTATCAAATGGGATGAAAATCATCTTTTTGCTTATGTTCAAAGTGATAACATTAATGTTGAACAATTACGTCATCATTGTCAATGTAATCTACCATCACATATGATTCCATCAATATTTATTATACTTGAAAAATTACCTTTGAGTCCAAATGGAAAAGTAGACCGAAAATGTCTTCCACCACCAGATTTATCATTATTAACTCTCTCATCAACATCATCAACAATAGCATTAGAAAACAGATCTAATCTTCCACAAAATCAATTACAAAAACAGATTCATGATATTTGGTGTGAAATTCTTCGATATATTGGACAACAAATTTCAATAACTGCAAATTTCTTTAGTATTGGTGGTCATTCACTTTTATTTATTGAACTTTATCATCGATATAAACAATTATATGATTTTGATAATCGTGTACTTTCTATTGCCTTATTTCTTCAACAACCAACTATTCTTCAACATTCACAATTACTTCAATCTATTACAATCAATCAAATGAAATCAGAACATTGGCATACACTACATATCAATCAAGGTAATAAAAAATTGTAATGTTAATATTCAAAAAATAAACTAAAATATTGTTTTTTTTTCTCTCTCATTAATAATGAAATTTTTTAGGTATTGCATCTTTTGCTCAAGAACGTATTTTTCTTGATGAACAAATGCGTTTTTCTAACAAAATTACTATCTACAATGGATTGACTGCTTTAGAAATTATTCAAGGTTCAATATCAATAGATCGTCTATTAGAAGCTATTGAATATATTTTAAATAAATATAAAATATTACGCACATTTGTTACTTTTAATAATGATATCAAATTTTATTAAGTCTAAAATACGCGCAACTGTCAACGACCCGACTATTGCCAGACTCTTGTTGCCATATAATCATCTTTTTGGTATCAGACGTCCCTGTGGTGGCACTGGTTATTATGAAACATTTAATCGCAATAATATCACACTTGTTGATCTTCGTTATAGAGTCGTCGATGAAATTCAGACAACAGGAGTTCGAGTTGGGAACAAGACATATGAAGTAGATGATATCGTTCTTGCACTTGGATTCGATGCCTTCACTAGTGCATTATTCAATATAGATATTCACGGTCAATCAGGGAAGACAATTCAAGAAAAATGGGAAAAAGGATGGCGTACTAATCTAGCTCTGATGATCGCTGACTTACTAAATTTATTTACGATTAGTGGTCGCGGTGCTCCATCTGACTTAACTAATATGGTTCCACATATCGAACAACATGTTAAATGGATAACAAAATGTTTAGAATATCTACGAACGCATCATATTAATATGATAGAACCCACTCTAGAGGCAGAGAATACTTGGGTTAAACATGTAAATGATGTTGTCGAAAATACTCCTTTTCGAATATTCAAGTCAATCTACAACGGACCAAATATTCCCGGAAAACTATGAGTCTTTATACCTTATGTAGGAGGCTTTGATATTTATATGGAAAAATACGAAAAAATTGCCAAGAATGACTATGAGGGTTTTCATCTGATGAAGTAACTACGATCATCACAGCATGGGTGATGTAAAACATTCATATTAATTTTAATTTTCATATAATTTCATGAAATAGTATCGTACAGTTTTATTCCTTTTTTTGATTCGATATGAGTGTCGATGAGAACAATTATATTTGCTTTATTCTTTTCAGATAATTCTATTTCTCATAGTACTTGTTTATTAGGCTTCTGCTACTTAAAAAATTTAAATACAAAATGTCAACATTGATGGAAACGGCTTTATTACAAAAAGTTCAAGAACAAGAAATGATGCTTCCACCAGCATCATCAGCTATTCCTGCTGCTAGGTGTTCGCAAGGTGCTGCGTCTTTCGCACAAGAACGAATATGGCTTGATGAAAAGATCTATCATGATCCATCAATATCACCTGCTATGCATAATTTTGTTTTACCGTTGGTGATTAAGCATGGCTCAATGTCAATCGAGCGCATTCGTTCGGCCGTTGTTGCTGTTCTTGAACAGCATGAAATACTTCGAACTGCAATTTACTTCGATAAAAATCGTAATATGTTAGTCCAAGAGGTGCAGCCTGTTGTCAACAATGGTGCTTATTCGTTTGAAATAACAGCAAACGATATACAAAGTCCTAATGAAGTTGCTGATCTACTTAGAAATGAATCGGTCAAGCATTTTGCTGAATTAAAACAGGGTTTAGTTGTTCGTTGTCATCTAGTTAAGGTGGCATCTGACGATGACATGAAAAAATTATATCCGCAAGATCTAGTTATTTTTATATTTCATGGTGTAGCATTCGATTATAGTTCTATTAGTCCGTTCCTTGCTGCATTTACAAAAGCATACGATCAGATGGAATTGAATGTTGAAAGGTTACAATATATCAGTTTCAGCCTATATGAGCGTCAACAATTCGTTAATATCTCCGAAGACTCTCAAATACGAAGAGCCCAACAGTTTTGGTCAAAAATGATGGATGATTACAGCCTTGATGCAAATTATCCGACACCATTTACGCGCCCATTCGACACAAAAAAGCGTTCGGGAGAAGGGCATAGCACATCATTTATACTGGATTCGATACTTGTCAAAGGTCAGATGAAATTTGCATCGTTGCATAATTTGTCTACGTTTCATACAGCATTAGCGTGCTTCTTTCTCTTCATTTATGAACTCAATGATGGTACTATTAGTGACTTGTGTGTGACCTGTCCGAGAGAAAATCGATCACTCGTTGATACAAAATTCATGATTGGTACGTTTGCAAATTTATTACCATATCGTATCAAAATTAATGCAAATGAAAGTTTTATTAACTTGGTGCAGCGAATTTGTCAACTGGACATGGACATTCTTAATCACTATCAACTGCCTTATCAACAGATCATCAGGGGTAATAGGGAGTTATATTCAAGCAAGATTCCATTTCATTTTCAATATGAAGAGATGCACTCTTCTTCAACTAGTGAAATGAAATCGATAGCCAAGACGAATGATGTGATATTAAGTTTATATACTGAACAACCTTGGCTATATGGTAATGGTACTGCTTCTCATGATATGAATGTAAAAATGATTCATAATCAGTCCAGCCAAACGACTTATTGTATTTTTGAATGTAGCGCTGATTGTTATGATGAAGTAATAGTGTCCAACATTGGTCGATATTTTCAGAATCTACTTTTACATATCTTCACTGAAAATATGAAAACTATTGGATTCGACCCACTTTTTGAAAAAATTGGAAATCTTTCTCTTTTACCAATGAACGTTGAAACTTTATCAAACGTCATTGAATCACTACGAAATTTCTCCGATATAAGTAAGTGCTTCTAAGAAAACTCGTTTCTAATTCTTCTTCACATATTTGCATGAATTAAAGCTCTTACATGATGCGTAACTTGTAGAAATATTCTAAACCCCTTCGAACATAAAAATGTATAACTTCAGCTATTTGCGAGAGATTCGAGTATTTAACTATGAGAATAAACCTAATTAGTGTGTAGGAATAATATGTGACTATCATAGAACCAGCTTCATATGCTCAACATCAAATATGGCACGATGAAGAACGTCGTTTGCATTCGGATGGACCACAATTGGCAACATACAATATGGTATTCTGCTATCGTCTTGCAGCTGATCATACCTTATCTGTTCAGCAGCTTCGTCACGCACTCGATCTTGTTGTTGACAAACATCAATCCTTGAGAACGGCACTTATTTTTGATACTACAAAAAACACTCTCACACAACGAATTGTTGACCAACAGAGTTATAAAAACAATCCGTTTTCTATAGTAGAAAGCATTTATGAAACAGATGAACAATTGGATGAAATTATGCACAACGAGACACACAATCCTCATGTTTTCGATCTTGCCCAGGGTCTTGTCTTTCGATGTCATATTGTTCGTTATAAACAGGTTCCTACCGATGATGTTATCTCCGATAACGATATCATCATCTTCAATTTTCATCATGCCTCGTTTGACTATCCATCAATGAAGATATTTCTTCATGATCTTCATCAAGCATACACCACAAGTCAACTACCCAATGATGACAGCACCAACGGACTTAGCTATCTCGACTGTAAATATCCATACTTCTCTCTTTATAATCATATCATGTCTTTCTCTCTTCTTTAGATGCTGTTATTGAACAACACATGCCTATGATTGGTGCAAGCATGTTCTGGCATGATGCTCTGCATGACTGCAAACTAGATCAGTCTCTCTCATTGCCATATGATAGATATCGACCTACGAATGAATATCGATCTGGTTTTGTAACATCCATTTCATTCGATTTAGACCGAGATCTTTGTGACACTTTCCTTCACTACACATCTTCGCAAAACATCTCACTTGAACATCTGGCGTTGTCTATGTATTTTGTCTTTCTATGTAAACTAACGAATGGAGAAACAGATCTATGCATTGGAATGGACGTAGATGGTCGATACATAGATGAACTTAAATCAGTGATTGGTATGTTTGTCAATACTATTCCTTTGCGTTGTCAACTAGATCCACAATGGTTTCTACATAAACTTGTTAAACATGTTCAAGAGATGCTAAGAAACAGTCGCAAATACTCTTATTTTCCTCTTCAACGTCTCCTAGATCAACAGTCACGCGCTTTGAAACCTGTATTTCTTGATACATCATTCGAGTTCATACGATATTCACCACAAGATCTCGGCAAAGATGTGATGATAGGTGATAGCCATCTTTCTGTGATGCCTATTTCGAGTAAGATTAGTGAAGATGACATCATGAACAAGTTTGACTTCATTCTTAGTATTCAACATAATTTCGATATGAATCAACTCTCTTGTACAATCAATGCATCGCTTGACTTGTTTAATAGAGAAACGGTAGAGAAGATTGCACAACGATTTCATTCAATGTCCAAACAATTGTTGACATCTATTCATGATCAAACAACTCAATCCATCTATGAGTTATCATTCATCATGCCAGATGAAAGATTACTCATGCAATCAATGAATAATACACAAGTCTCATTTCCTTCGATCACTTGTATTCATCAAGAGTTTGCTTGTCGAGTATTGAAACATCCACAAAAACTAGCTGTTGAACTTGATGAACAATCATTGACATATTGTGAACTTTTATATTATGTTCAGGTGTTATCTTTAACTCTTGTTAATGAATATCTTGTCACTCCAGGTGAGATCGTGTGCCAATGTGTTGAGCGAAGTTTGTCAATGGTAAGTTGATTAGGAGAGAAAACGATTGATGTAAGTATAAAATTAATTTTGACTAGGTGATTGGTATTATGTCAATTGAAATGGCTGGTGGTGTTTACTGTTCATTGTCACCTCGTGATCCACAACATCGTTTGCATACATTCATACAACAAACACAAAGTCGTCTTGTTCTTGTTCATTGGCTGACAAAAATGAAGTTTAATAATGATATTCTATCAGCTGATATTCATTCGATACTCGCTAATAATGATGTAATGAGCGATGCTGATTTTGATCGACTATCAAGTATTACAGTTACACCTAATGATATTTCTTTTATCATTTTCACAAGTGGTTCAACTGGAATACCGAAAGCGGTAAGTGAATACTAGAATTTTTGTTTTCCATTTCTATTCCTGCCCATTCTAATAGATTCAATATCGCCATGAAAATTTCATTCGTTTTATATATTCGTTTGGGAGCGTTACCACATTGAAGAACGATGATTTGGTTGTCCAGATCGTTCGATGTACTTATGATGGTCATCTCCGGCAAATAGTTGGTATTTTATTAATTGGCGCTACATGCGTCATGCTACATCCAAGAGGAATGACTGATTTTGAGTATCTAGCTGATGTGTTATACAACAAACAAATTACACATTTCAGTACTGTACCAGCTTTAATTCAAAATTTCTTTAGTTTCCTCATTCAGTATAAGAAAACATATGCTGTGAAGTATTTCCGATTACTTTGTAGTGCAGGTAAGGGAAAAAAGACGCTTTTTGTGATCTCCTTCGCACTGCACTTTTGTTTCGATAGGCGAAGCATTTCCTTCCAAACTGATTGATCTGATCCAAGAGAGCAATATTCCCAATTGTACTTTATGGAATTTATATGGTCCAGCTGAAGCTACTATAGTTTCTACCACATATAGAATACATCCTATGGCTAATACACAAAGTATTCCAATTGGTAGACCACTTTCTAATTATCGATGTATGATTATGAATGAATATTCACAACAATCAATCACCAATCAAGAAGGTGAACTGTTTGTAGGAGGAGTGGGTGTCTTTGCTGGATATCTTGGACGTGATGATTTAACTGCAAAAGCTCTTGTTGAAATAGATGGTCAACTATTTTATCGAACAGGTGATCTTGTTAGAATAGATAACAATGGTCTTCTTCATTATCAAGGAAGAAAAGATCATCAAATCAAATTACGTGGACAACGAATTGAGCTTGGTGAAATCGAACGATGTTTACTTAACATTGCATCTATATCTGCTTGTGTTGTCATAAAATGGAATGATGATTATTTAGCTGCCTATGTTGAATCTTCTCATATAAATGAAGAAGAACTGCGTCAACATTGTCAATCTCATCTTCCACCACATATGACACCATCAATATTTATTATTCTTCATAAATTACCTCTGAATCAAAATGGAAAGGTAGATCGAAAATCTTTACCAACACAGAAAATTTTATTTCATTCGTCTGACACGATACATCATCAACTTGTAGAACCAAGCAATGAGCTTGAAATCTATATTCATTCATTGTGGTGTGAGATTCTCTCTCAAAGCAGAATATCTACTAATACAAATTTTCTTAGTATTGGTGGTCATTCTCTCTTACTCGTTCAATTATACCATAGTTATAAGATGACACTCAACATTGATAAGACTAAGATCAATATTTTTGAACTCTCCCAACATCTCACCATTGCTGATCATGCTCGCCTCATTCATCAATCACTAGATGATCCAGAAACATATCAAAAACTTTTGTCTGCTGTACATAATATGCAAGGTATATTGTATTGCCTAATCAATTTCGTACACGTATTACATTTTACTTTTTCTTCTTATTGATAGAAACATCTATTCAAAAGCATACTCGCTCGATCTCTCAAGAGAATATCATACTTGTCGTAGATGAGTTCTCAAGATATGAATCATTTCCCGTTACTCCTATTCAACTAGCATATCTAATTGGACGTGAAGGTGTTATTGAACTTGGCCATGTTTCTACTTTTGCCTATAGAGAATATGATTTCTCAACATCGTTTGACATCGAATGCTTCGAACGAGCATTGAATTATTTAATCCAACGGCATGAAGCATTGCGTCTTATCTTTCCGTCTCATACTGAGCAGAAAATTCTCAAAACAGTTTCCTATTATACTATATCTATACTTAACTTAGATGATGTTCAGTCTTCCCAAAAACATCTCCTAGAACGACGAGAACAACTATCACATCAGATACGACCAGCTAATCAATGGCCATTATTTGATTTTCAAATAACTCGTTTTATTAGTGATGACGGTTATAAAATACGGTTGCATTTTGGTTTCGATTTACTGATCTTGGATTTTTGGAGCATAAACTTAGTTTTACATGAACTAAATCAATTGTACTACAACCTGAATGATGTCTTAATAGAACTAAAACTATCTTATCGCGATTACATTCTGGCAGAACAACAATGGAACTACACTACCATTAATAGCAACGATAGACAATATTGGATAAATCGTCTAAAATCATTTCCATTAGGTCCAAATTTACCATTACAGTGTTTGCCAAATGAGATACATGTACAACGTCATTGCAATGCAGTAGCAGTATTAGATCGATTACAGTGGCAAAAACTAAGAAAACATATTACCGATCATGGGCTAACACCAGCAGGTTTCTTAGCGTCAATTTATGCTTTGGTATTGGGTAAATGGAGTGAAAATAAACATTTCGCTTTGAATCTGCCAGTTTTCAATCGATTACCTATTCATCCACAAGTTAATCAAATAGCAGGAGATTTTACAACAGTTATTCCGTTGGAAATCAATTTGGATAAGGTAGTCACTTACTACGAATTTCTTCACACTGTGCAGAAACAATTATGGAACGATCTTGAACATATATCTTATGATGGTGTCTCATTTATTCGTGAGTTAATGCAGGTGCATCAGACAAGAGAAATTCTTTTACCGTATGTTTTCACATGTGGGATAGATCTTGAAGATATTCGTGAGAAAAATGTTGAACACAATATATTTTTTGATCAAGAACCGGTTTATGCGATTAGTCAAACACCGCAAGTTTTTCTTGATCATATAGTAATGGAAATTGATGGTTGTTTATCAATAAATTGGACATATGTAGAGAATTTACTTCGAAAGGAAATGCTCAATCATATGCATGATACATTTGTTGATTTACTTGTCAAACTGGCTTCGTTCGATGAAACATGGCAAAAGCCCATATGCGTCTCTTTACCCTCTGAACAACAAGAACGACGATTAGATTTCAATCAAACACAATGGGGATCAAACGTTAAAGATAAATTACTTCATTCACTCGTTATTAAACAAGCTGAATTAACACCTAATGCATTAGCTATTCTCTCTTCTCAAGTAAATCTAACATACAGACAGCTGATGAATCGTGTCTATTCATTAGCATATCACCTACAACAACAACATGAAATAAAGTCCAATCAACTAATTGCTATTCTCATGACAAAAGGATGGGAACAAGTAGTCGCTTGTTTAGCTATTTTAGTGTTAGGTGGTGCTTATTTACCTTTGGATGTTGATTCACCCTACAATCGTCTTTGTTCATTAATCGAAGAAACTAATGTCACCATTCTTCTTACACAATCTCATTGCAAACATGTATTTCCACATCTCTCAACTATTTCAGTCGATACATTCACAACTGGTGATATATATCTATTTCCATTTCCTATCAAACAACAATCATCAACTGATTTAGCTTATATTATTTACACATCTGGATCAACTGGAAAACCAAAAGGTGTTATGATTAGTCATCAAGCTGTTGTAAATACTATTTTAGATATGAATTCAAGATTAGAAATCTCAGAGAATGATAGAATATTTGCATTATCACATCTCAATTTTGATTTATCAGTTTATGATATGTTTGGAATGTTGATTGCTGGCGGAACTATAGTAATTCCAGATCATGAAGATTATAAGAATCCTCAACATTGGTATGATATGATAATTAAACATCATGTTACTATTTGGAATAGTGTTCCGATGTTAATGCAAATGTTTGTTGAACAGCTCAAACATACAAATAATCATAATCAATTACGACATATTTTATTAAGTGGTGATTGGATACCATTATCTTTACCCGAATCAATACAAATAGCGTTTGGTCAACAAGTGACAATAACTAGTTTAGGCGGTGCAACAGAAGCATCGATTTGGTCAATTGCCTATACTCTACCAAAAGAAATACCACAAGAATGGAAATCAATTCCTTATGGAATACCATTAAGAAATCAACAATATTATGTTTATGATTCACATCTACATGATTGTCCTGAATGGGTCATTGGTGAATTATATATTGGTGGTGAAGGTTTAGCTAGTGGTTATTGGAATGACCAAGCAAAAACACAATCAAGTTTTATTATCCATCCACTAACTAATGAACGTCTTTATCGAACAGGTGACTATGGTCGCTTTTTACCAAATGGATATATTGAATTTACGGGACGAAAAGATTTTCAAGTAAAAGTATATGGTCATCGTATTGAACTTGGTGAAATTGAACATCACTTACAACAACATCCAGATATTCATCAAGCTATTGTTAATATTGATGACAAATCCCAACGTCTAGTGGGATACATCATGCCCGAGAAGCGTTCTACAATCAAAGATGATTTCCATGGATCAGATATATCGATAATTGATTCAATTGAGCGATTCAGTTTTAAACTAGCCAGACATGGTTTATTATCCATAGAAGACGCAATCGAGACTTTCGCACTTACTAAGCCTGAACAAACAAAAGTATTAGTTGATACCTATTATGTTCGGAAGAGCTATCGGCAGTTTACTAATAAAACTGTTGAAAAGTCCGATATTGAATATTTATTAACAGAATGCTATCGTCGAAATAGTACATGCAGTGCCATAGAGTCATCACTAAATTTCGACAGTCTCGGCAGATTCCTATCATCGTTGATATCAATCCATCTTCCTGATCAAGTATTACCAAAGTATCGTTATGCATCTGCTGGAAGTCTTTATCCAGTTCAAGTATATGTCGAACTATGTTCTCCAATTAATAACATCCCACCAGGCTTCTATTATCACCATCCAGTCAATCACAGCCTCAGTTTCATCGGAAAAGCTACTCACGATGACAATGCGAGCATTCGCTTGCATTTTGTTGGTAGATCAGCAGCAATTTCTCCGCTCTATGGGATTAAATTGGGCACCCGATTTTGTACCTTAGAAACTGGTTATATTGTAGGATTATTGCAACAGGAAGGATCGTCTTTAGGTTTCAAGTTGTCGAACATTACTGAATCAATACTAAACATTTCAAATGATTTAGTTTTACAAGAAAATGATACCTATCAGTGCTTTTCAGTTATACCGATGAAGCCTGGACATTCTCTTGATAACGATGAAATGAAAAGTGCTCATCCGAACATATTTGTGTATTTAAAATCACCCGATTACATGCAACATCAATGGTTTATTTATGACAAACTAAGCAATCTTCTTCGAGTTCATCCTGTGATATCAAGTACAGAACAAGGGCAAGCACTACCTCTTTTCAGTGAGGATGATGACACTGAAATTATTTTTTATAATTGTCAAGCTGCTATATTTTTCGTTGGAAAAGCTGATCACTATTTGGATGCGGGCACTATTGGATATTTAATAATGTGTACAGGTTTGGAAAATGATATTGGAATGTGTCCTATTGGTAGTCTCGATGGCTTTCCATTGAATATCAATAATGCACTTGATGAAATTTTAAATTCATCCGATTCAGAGAATCATAATATAGTATTACATCAGTTTCTTCTTGGAAAAATTAGTGAAGAGCAGAAATATGAACGAACTGTTTCAAAAACTAAGACAATAGCTAATTACAATCAGGCGTTGCAAACATATTTGAGTTCAACACTTCCTAACTATATGATACCATCATTTTTTGTCACTCTTCAAACGTTTCCATTAAGTTATAATGATAAAATTGATAGAAAATCGTTACCACAGCCAGATACATCAAGTATCAATGCAGAAGAAAGTTTTATAGCACCTAGTGACGACTTAGAGAAAATGTTAGCAAATATTTGGCAAGAATTATTAGGTAGTGATCGTATTGGCTTACGTGATAATTTTTTCTTGCTTGGTGGAAACTCTTTACTTGTTATTCGATTGAAATCAAAGATCGAAAATACTTTAGGAATTAGTTTACCAATGAAAGTTTTTTACGAAAATCCATTGCTACATAGTATGGTTGGTCAATGTAAGATCGAAATGAAGAAGCAGCAGCAAAACTCCAAAGAAGTCATGGCAATGGTTGTGAACACAGATGAAAAGCACCGCTATGAACCATTTCCTTTAACAGATATTCAACAAGCATATTTAATCGGCCGTAGTGGCTATATTGAACTTGGCAATGTGTCTGGATATGGTTATCAAGAGTATGATTCGCCAAAGTTGAACATCGAACGGTTTGAAGAAATATTCAATCGCTTAATCCAACGGCATGAAGCGTTGCGACTCGTTTTTCCATCCACAACCGAGCAGCAAATTTGTCAGCGTGTACCATATTATAAAATTAAGATTCTGGATCTTAGACAGCAGCCCAAAGAAGTTGTTAATCGAGAGCTCAAAAAACGACGAACAGTTTTATCTCATAAGATTTTGCCTGCTGACAAATGGCCGCTTTTTGACATTCAAATTACACGCTCGAATGATGAAGAATTCAGACTACACATCGGCTTTGACATTCTTATTTTGGACTGGTTTAGTTTCAATATCATGTGGCATGAATTTAACCTTATGTACCACAATGATGAGCTTGATTTACCGGCGTTCAGTTTATCCTTTCGTGATTACGTTCTTACTATGGAGGAATATAAACTAACAGCTGCTTACCAAAATGATGAGAACTATTGGAAAAAACGTCTAACATCATTTCCGATCGGACCAACTTTATATTTACAGTGTTTACCACATGAAATATATGAGCAGAGATTTGTTCGCATTTCTAAAACATTGACTCAACAGGTTTGGCGCAAATTGAAAGAATACATTCGAGAATACCAGTTGTCTTCAGCTGGCCTGTTAGCGACTGTTTTTGCACTAGTATTGGCTAGATGGAGCGACCAAAAACATTTTGCAATTAATATGCCCATTTTTAACAGGATGCAAATTCATTCAGAAATCAATCATATAATGGGAGACTTTACATCAATCATTCCACTCGAAATCAAATTTTACGAAGAAACCAACATGAGCATTATGGATTGTGTTCGGCATATTCAAGTACAACTGTGGGATGATATTGATCATGCTTCTTATAGTGGCGTTGCATTCATAAATCATCTAAAACGAACACGCAACACTCGAGATATTGTACTGCCGATTGTATTTACATGTGGAATCGATGCAAATGATCTCGATCGAAACCAAATCATGTATACTGATCGCAGTTTTTTCCATGACATGCCGACATATGCCATATCACAAACACCACAAATCTGGCTCGATAATCAAATCTATGAAGACGAAAACGAGCAGTTAGTGGTTGGTTGGGATTATATTGAGGGTTTATTTCCAGTTGAAATGGTAGCTGATATGCATGATACTTTCATCAACATCTTGTTTAGTTTGACAAAGTCAAGAGAAACTTGGGATTGCTCATATGCATTCGCTTTACCTCGTCATCAAGCCGAACGACGTTCAACATACAACAAAACAGATCTATCCTTTTCTCACGCGAATAACCTAATGCAGATTCCAATAATTGAACAATCGGAGCGAACACCACATGCATTGGCTGTCATTTCTTCACGTGGAAATCTTACATATAAAGAGCTAATGAATCGTGCATATTCTCTAGCATATCATTTACAACAAAAACAAGGTGTACAGTCAAATCAGTTAATTGCTGTTTTCATGGAAAAAGGTTGGGAACAAGTTGTGGCATGTTTAGCCATCTTAATATCAGGTGCTGCATATTTACCACTAGATATTGATTCTCCACATGATCGCCTTAGCTCATTGCTCGAAGATGCTGACGTTGAAATTATTCTCATTCAATCTAATTATCAACTACCGTTTATACATTTCACAACCATTGCAGTTGATACATTCACTGATAATATATATCCAATTCCATTTCCTATGGAACAACAGAAACCAACTAATCTAGCATATGTTATATATACATCAGGTTCCACCGGCAAACCAAAAGGCGTCATGATTAGTCATCAAGCAGTTCTTAATACAATTCTTGATATGAAATCTCGACTAGAAATCACTCCTAACGATAGAATATTTGCATTGTCTCATTTAAATTTTGATCTGTCTGTCTTCGATATATTGGGAATGTTGATCACTGGTGGAACTATTGTCATACCTCATCATCAACATTACAAAGATCCAAAACATTGGTATGATATGATGATCGAACATCGAGTCACAATTTGGAATAGTGTTCCAATGCTCATGCAAATGTTAACAGAACATTTAAAGGAAAATCTCATGGAGAGTCACTTGCGACATATTCTGATAAGTGGTGATTGGATACCTTTATCTTTACCGAAATCTATAGGAAAAATATTCGGAGAACATGTGAAAATAACTAGTTTGGGTGGCGCTACTGAAGCATCTATTTGGTCAATTGCCTATACTCTCCCAAAAGAAATACCACAAGAATGGAAATCGATTCCTTATGGAATACCACTACGAAATCAACATTACTATGTTTATGATATACATCTTGATGATTGTCCTGAATGGGTCACTGGTGAACTGTACATCGGTGGAATGGGATTAGCTAATGGCTACTGGAAAGATCAAGAAAAAACGCAATTCAGTTTTATTATTCATCCATTAACTAATGAACGTCTTTATCGAACAGGTGATTATGGTCGCTTTTTACCAAATGGATATATTGAATTTACGGGACGAAAAGATTTTCAAGTGAAGTTACATGGTCATCGACTTGAACTTGGAGAAATCGAATATCAATTACAACAACATCCAGATATTCAACAAGCTATTGTTAATATTGATGACAAATCCCAGCACTTAATTGGATATATTATGCCAGAAAAACATTCTATTTATATTGAAGAATACGATTCAACAGAGGTGTTAATCGTTGATTCTATTGAACGCATCAATTTCAAGCTTGCAAGACATAGTATAAGATGTCAAAATAAGGTAGTAAAAAGCTTTGCTTTAACAAAACCAAAGCTTACAGAAACATTAATCAATACATATTATATGAGAAAAAGCTATCGACAATTTACAAATGAAGCTATTGAAAGATCTACTATCGAAAAGTTATTAAAAAATTGTCACAATAGCAATAATAATGAGAAAATATCTTTATCTCATCTCGATTCTGATATTCTTAGTCATTTATTAGCAGTATTAACACCGATCAGTATTTCTGATCAACCTTTACCAAAATATCGTTATGCGTCAATTGACGATCTTTATCCAGTACAGGTATATGTTGAATTACCAAGATCTATAGATAATATTTCATCTGGTATTTACTATCATAATCCAGATGAACATACTTTAGAACTAATTAGTACTCATACTAATAATGAAATGATGAATATAAGATTACATCTTGTTGGACGATCATCAGCAATTGCACCGCTATATGGTAAAAGATTGGGTTCTCAATTTTGTATGTTAGAAACAGGATATATTATGGGATTATTGGAAAAAGAAGGGTCAAGATTGAGATTGAGATTTTCAAAAAATACTCATAACGAATCTATAACTAGTGATATTTTGAATATAGATGAGAATGACACTCATTGCTGTTTCAAAATTTCATCATTTGAGCAAAATATTTCTAATGATGTACAAAATGACAATCATCAATGCATTATTTACCTTAAATCGGCCGACAATAACAAAGACCAATGGTTTATTTATGACAAAGAAAATGATACTATTACACCTTCTGATGTCAAAACTGAAACTACACATGAGGAAGTACCATTGTTTTTTGAGGATGACGATGATACAAAGATTATATTCCATGATTGTCAATGTGCAGTCTTCTTCATTGGACGGTCAGAATACACAATGAATATAGGAAAGATGTCACATTTATTAATGGATCATTGTTTAGAGATGAATATTGGTATGTGTCCAATTGGCACTCATATGAGTTTCCCAAAACAAATTAATGACGTATTAGATACTGTTCTTATTCGTGAGAAACGAAATGGAAGTAACATCTTGCATACATTACTTATTGGAAAAGTTAGTAATAAACAAAAATATGAACGTACTATTACAAAAGCAAAATCAATGCCAAAATGGAGTGAAACATTACGAATATATTTAAAGAAAAAGCTTCCACTGTATATGGTACCATCATATTTTATAAATGTTTCATCGTTTCCGTTAAGCCCGAATGGTAAAATCAATCGAAAAGCGTTACGAGAAATATCATTATCCGTGCTTCAACAAGAAGATACTTATAATGCACCAAATACTGAATTAGAAAAAACAATTGCGATTATTTGGCAAGAAATATTATACACAGATCGACTTATTATACAACATGATGATCTAGAATCGAATAAGCTGCCGTCCATTCCAAACGTCTCTGGTATAGATAGACAAACATCCTTTCTTATATCTACTACAGTTAGTTTCTTCAGCGTTGGGGGCAATTCTCTTTTACTTGTTAAGATCTATCAACATTATCAATCAAAATTTAATTTCGAAGCAGAAGTATTGAGTATTCGACCATTCTTTGACTACACCACCATAGTAGAACATGCTAAACTACTTGAACCAATCATCATCGATGGTACACAACTAAAACAATGGCATACGTTGCATATTAATGAAGGTCAGATGGTTTTAATTTACTTTTTTAATAGCTAAAAATATTATTTTCACAAATTTGTAGGTACCGCGTCATATGCTCAAGAACGCATATTTCTTGATGAACAAGTTCGTTTCTCTGATCAAATTGCCATCTACAATGAGCTGAATATCCTAAAAGTTTCTAAAGGCTTATTATCAGTGAATCGTTTATTGCAAGCTCTTCGCTATGTCCTAAGCAAACATAAGATATTAAGAACTTCTCTAGTTTTCAATGATGAAGATAGTATTTTAAAACAATCTATTACTAATAAACATCTGACATTTACATTGGCTGCCGATGAAACATTCAAAAGTGAAACTGAACTTCACAGCATTATCTCACAAATAAATACTAATCCTAATTTGTTCGATTTATCAAATGGTCGTGTTTTTTATTGTCATATTCTCAGACAACAAAGGACAACTGATGAAAATTATGATAAAGAAATGATGACAAATTCTGATGTTCTCGTTATCGGCTTCCATCATGTTGCAATTGATCGATCAGCTTGTTCAATTTTTTTAAATGATCTATGTAATACTTACAATAGTAACATGACGTGGTTAGATGATGAAGAATCATTACAATATATTGATTATGCTGTCCATGAACGTCTAATCGACATGACGTTGTCATGTGAATTTTGGCGTTTACAACTCGAGGGATGTAACTTGAAACGTCGATTATCATTACCAATCGAGCAGCATCGTTTATCTAATGATCAGCGATCTGGTTTTGCTTCTACCGTGCAAATCACTTTTGATAGGAAAACATCCTCATCATTTCTTAATTATGCTTCTTTACATCATTTGACACTATTTCAGCTAGGATTGGCTACATTCTATACATTTTTATTCAAGTTAACATATAGTCAAACTGATTTATGTATTTCATGCGTTAACGCTAACCGATACAGACCTGAATTACAGACTATGGTAGGAATGTTTGTTTCAACATTACCATATTGCATACAACTTAATCCTTGTTGGTCATTTCATGAAGTAGTTAAATATGTACGAGAAAAATGTTTATCAATTCTTGAACATTCACATTATCCACTTCAACATATTCTTCGTGATTTTCAACTTAATCCATCAACTGTTCCTTTTCTTCAAACAGTTTTTGATTTCATGACTGAATCTTCAGTTAACGATCAGTTTACTTTCGATGATGTTAGTTTAGAGCCAGTATCATTAAAACAGTTTTCAGGAGCGGCTAAATTTGATTTTTCGTTGGAATTTGTTTACAATCCAATCTCGGATGACAAAATATTGTCATGTCGTTTTATTTGTTCATGTGATCTATTTGAAGATACTACAGTTACAAAAATGATGCAAAGATTTCAATATTTTTTTGAGCAACTTTTTTCAATGAATTTCAATGTTAATGAGACTGACTTAGTAGTTTCACCTATTACCAAACTTACTCTTATCTTACCAGATGAAATGAATGAAATACAATACGTAGCTTTTTACTGTCAATCAAATGTGGCGAATGAAGGTATTTCTATTTCCTATTTGTCATATATATATATAATACTTTTATTGATGTAGATCAGTTAGATGAGAGAGACATGTATGATATGTATAAATATTGTATTCTCAAAATGGAAAGTATTGATTGACTTGTGTTAGTTCAAGAATCATAACATTCATCTGTTTTTCAATACAGAATAGAAATATATAATATAAAAAGTTCTTACGAATCTGCTCTGTCAAATCCTTTCAAAAACTTTTGCAGATAAAATATTCTATAGCATAGATATATGAAGTTTAGTAGTAATCATAAGCATAAGAATTGTGATTACAAAGGCGATAAATTCTTGACATGATTATTTTCGACTGGAATGCTAAAAATAATATGACAACTGAGCAAAACATAGTTTTTTTTTGAAATATTTATTTAACATAATAAAATGCAGATTTAATTCAGAAGATAATGAGTGATCTTAATATCGATGACAATTTCGTTATCTTATAATAATCTAATTATAACATTATAGTCATTAACGCTGCTATTTGATAGTTGTTTTTTTGGTCAACTCTATTTCTGTAAACATCAATTAAAATAACAATCTATTTTAGTGACGCTAACTTTTTTTTAATTAAGATTAGACACTGTTCAAGTGCAACTCGTCCCTTTACACAATATTTTGACCCTTTTTAGGCTAGTCTAAATTTATAATTTTAAATAAAACTAACCATTTTTTAATAAAAGTTTTTTTTAAATATATGATGATGAATATAAGAATATGGTCAATAGAAAACTATTCGACGTTTCGATAACTAAAGTGTCGTACACGAGAAAGTAAAAATCAACATCTGTAACACAATATTAACATTTAATTGATTGTTTTTCTTTCACTTTATTTAGTAATACGAAAATGAATTAAAAGTTAATTTTACTTAAAACTATTATCAGTCTGAAAATTATTTTTATATTTATACTTTGAAAAATTAGTTACCTCAAACTGTGGTAGATTTTTCAGACAATATTTATTTGAAAAGGTGTATATATGAAGAAAGTATAGGTAACGCAATTAATTATGAAGAGCTATTAGGACATTATAAAAAATGTAATAAATGTTTCATTCTAGAATACAACAAAGACATATTGCATAAAAATTCGTGAAAATCTCAATTTAAAAAAACAAATCTTTTCTTTTGTTCTTTGACGTTGTGAGACAAAAAAACAAATTTATCATCTTATGATGCTTGAAAAACTCTAGCTTTCAGTCATATTTACGATTCTACTGTAGTCGAACATACATACGTTTCTGATTAATATTTTTATCATAGAGCATCGTTAAAACATGAAAAGTAGAAAACGTAGAATGAAATCTCTCATGTAGTATTTTATTTTTCTAATTTGTAAATAAAACACTCAATACATAATCTGAAGAAAATTTCACGATTCACCTTTAAGAAAAATCTGTGTTAATGTTGAATATAAAAAGCTTACAAACTTATCATATTCTCTTTCTCGCAAGAGAAGAGTCCAGTAAGAATAAATTGTTTGTTTGTTTGTTTGTTTGCTTGCTTGCTTGCTTGCTTGCTTGTCTGTCCGCAGGGTCAAAAAAACATTTAGATTTAATTTATCAGATACTTCCGGAAAACTTTGACTGGGGGGTAATCGAGTGTGGGGAACTTGAATCTGAGGTTAGTTTATTAAAATTAACTAGTTAATAATTAGTATTATTATATGTTCGAGTAAAGTTTCACCGAATGGTAATCCAGTGTGGAGAATCCGAACTTGAGATTATTTTTAGTTAAAAACCAATTAATAATTAATATTATTAATTTTTGAAATATTTTTAGAAAAGTTGGATCAAAGGGTAATCGAGTATGGAGGACTCGAATCTGAGATTTATTTATTAAAATTAATTAGTTAATAATCAGTTAATAATTGATATTATTAATTTTTGAAAAAAGTTTGACCGAAGGGTAATCGAGTGGCAAGAATTCGAATGTGAGGTTAATTTTAGTTAAAAATCAATTAATAATTAATTAATATTATTAAACTTAAAGATAGTTCCAAGAAAGTTTTACCAGAGGGTAATTCGAGAATTGATTGTTTAGAAAAGACATTTTTGGGGCATTTCGATGTGGAGACTTCGATTCTGATGTTAGTTTTATAAAATAATTTTACGGATCACTTTTTTAGGGAGAGAACCAATTTTTATAAAAAAAAATTTTTGATAAGGGGTGTCTAAAGGGTAAGCGGGGTGGAAGAACACAAATCTGGTGTTAATTTTTCCAAACTGCATAAGCAAAAAGTTTAGTATTGTAGAATACGATTTCTACGAGAAAGAGCTGAGCGAGTCCGCAGACGAGCGTTACTTGTATTCATATGTGAATTTTTCATGTTTTTGACTATTCGAGATTATGAATACTTGAAACAGTAATATCAATCGAGTTATATAATTAAATAGAGAGAGCAACTGAATAGTAAGTTAAATGAATCATAAAGATACATTCGTTGATAGGTGTACCTAGTTCGATTTCAATAAGCTTCTTTGTTATAGCACCAGCATCATTTGCACAAGCCCGTATATGGCTGGACGAAAGAATTCGATTTGATCCAGACAAGCCCCAAATAGCAATCTATAATATGCCTTTTGTTTATCGTCTGCACCTAGATCATACCTTATCAATTAAACAACTTCTTCAAGCTCTTCATATTACTGTCAACAAGCATCCCTCACTTCATACATCATTTCATTTTGATATCGAAAAAAATCTACTTATGCAACGAGTTATTAATCATCAAGATAAAAATGATAATAACAATATGTTTTCAATCATCGAAACTACTTATGAAACAGATGAACAATTGAATGAGATTTTCCACGACGAGAGACGTAATTCTCATCTTTTTAATCTTGCTCAAGGTCTTGTCTTTCGATGTCACCTTGTTTACTATAAACAAATCTCTTCAAATCATCTTCTTTCTGACAACGATCTAATTATTTTCAACTTTCATCATGCTTCATTTGATTTTCCATCAATGAATATATTTCTTCATGATCTCAATCAAGCATATACAACAGGCCAATTATTATATGATGACAGCACCACTCTTCGTTATCTCGACTGTGAATATGAATACTACTTCTACTTTTCTCTTTTATCTAATGCATTATTTTCTTTTCTTATGTAGATGCTTTTATTGAACAACAAATGTCAATGATTGGTGCAAGTATGTTTTGGCTTGATACTCTTCATCATTGTAAACTTGATCAATCTTTACCATTACCATTTGATCGATATCGTCTCTCAAATGAATATCGAACTGGTCGCGGAACATCTATTTCTTTTGATTTTGGTCAAGATCTCTCACGTCATTTTCTTATTCATGCATCATCAAATAACATATCACTTGAACATCTCACATTTACTATTTATTTTATCTTTCTATTTAAATTAACTAATGGACAAACAGATCTATGTATTGCTATGAATATCAATAATAATCGATATAGGGATGAACTCAAATCAACGATTGGACTGTTTGAGAATGTCATTCCATTACGATGTCAATTAGATCCTCATTGGTCTTTTCATCAGTTACTCGAACATGTTCAAGAAATAACAACAAATAGTATGACATATTCATATTTTCCACTTCAACATATTCTCAATCAACATCCACATATTTCAAAATATGCATTCTTGGATATATCTTTGGAATTTATATCACATAAGAATAACAATACAATCATGATCGGTGATTCTCAACTTGTTCCAGGATCTTTCTCATTCAATATTAATGAAGATGAGATATTAAGTATAGCCGACTTTTCTCTTTCCATTTATCATGATATGAATATGAATCAACTGTCATGCACAATCAATGCATCACTTGACTTATTTAATATAGAGACAGTGGAAAAAATTTCACAACGATTTCATTTCATCTTACATCAATTATCTGCATCTATTACCGACAGCCAAATAAACAAACCAATCTATGAGTTATCAGTAATATTATCAAATGAACAATATCTAATGCAATCATTGAATAATACACAAATATCATTTTCATCTTCTCGTCCCACTTGTATTCATCATAAGTTTGTGTGTCAAGTGATGAAACATCCACAAAAACTAGCTGTTGAATTGGATGAACAATCATTGACATATTGTGAACTTCTATATTATGTTCAAGTTTTATCTTTAACTCTTCTCAATAAATATCATGTTTCTTCAGGTGAAATCATTTGTCAATGTGTTGAGCGAAGTTTATCAATGGTAAGTTAATTAAGACGAGTAATAATTCATGTGAGTTTGAGATTGATTTTGATTAGGTGATTGGTATAATGGGAATCGAAATGGCTGGTGGTGTTTATTGTCCATTATCACCTCGAGATCCACAACATCGTTTACATGCTCTTGTACAGCAAACAGAAAGTCGTTTTGTTCTTGTTCATGATTTAACTAAGACTAAGTTTCATCATAATATTGCATTACTTAATATCGACTTAATATTGTTTGACAACGAGAGAGAGTATAAAAGTAATATTGATCGACTATCGAATGTTTTAGGAGCAACGGAAGATATGGCTTACATCATATTCACAAGTGGTTCAACTGGAACACCGAAAGCGGTTAGTCTAAAATGATATTTTTTTTTGATGTTGTGGCAATAGTTCGTCTTTGTTTAGGCTCAAATGCGGCATGGAAACTTCAGTCGATACATGTATTCATTAGTATGTGGTGATGTATTGAAGAAGAAAGATACAATTATACAAATAGCGCGTTGTTCGTTTGATGTTCATGTTCAAGAAATACTTGGTACATTAACAACTGGAGCTACACTTGCCATGTTACATCCAGGAGGGATTAGTGATCCAAAGTATCTTGCCGATGTTATCAAAATGAAGAATGTTACGTGCATTACAGCTGTACCAACTATTCTTCAACTATTATTTGATTTCCTGCAACAACTGAATGATATCTCAACTTTAACAAGTCTGCGATGCGTTTGCACTGGTGGTATGTAATTTTTTTGTTGAATGTCTTTTGCACGTTCCATTTTTCTACCTTTTTTAGGTGAAATGTGGTCTGACAGTCTGGTAAATTTAATTTTTAGTTCAGTCGCGAATCCCTGTATACTGTGGAACCTTTACGGTCCAGCTGAAACGACTATAGTTTGTACCGTACATAGAGTAAATCTCACGGCTAATACGCAAAGCATATCAATTGGTAAACCACTTTCTAATTACCAGTGTATGGTCATGAATGAATATTTACAATCATCTGTTACCAATCAAGAAGGTGAACTGTTTGTGGGAGGAGTAGGTGTGTTTGCTGGTTATCTTGGGCGTGACGATTTAACTGCAAAAGTTCTTGTTGAAATAGATGGTCAACTATTTTATCGAACAGGTGATCTTGTTAGAACGAACAACAATGGCCTGCTCTATTATGTTGGTCGAAAAGATTTTCAAATCAAATTACGAGGGCAGCGTATTGAACTTGGTGAAATAGAACGATGTTTACTTAACATCACGTCTATATCTGCTTGTGTTGTCATGAAATCGAATGATGATTACTTAGTTGCCTATGTTGAATCTTCTCACGTTAATGAAGCACAACTACGTCAACATTGTCAGTCTCATCTTCCGTCACATATGATACCATCAATATTCATGATACTGGATAAACTACCTTTGAATCCAAATGGTAAAATAGATCGAAAACTTCTTCCGCCACCTCACTTCTCATCTACACGTCTCACAAACAGTATAGAACTATTACTACCAACAAATGATATTGAAGTTACTATTCATCATATTTGTTGTAAGATATTTAAACAAAATCAAATCTCAACTGATACAAATATGTTTACTATTGGTGGTCATTCATTACTCATGATGCAACTTTTCCATCAATACAAGACCGACTTTGATTTAGAACAAAAGCAAAGTTGTTTCTCGATATCAAATCTATTTCAACATCCAACAATTATTCATCATGCTCAACTCGTTCAACAATCTATTATTAGTATCCGCACTCAGGATGATTATTCTTGGTCTTCATTACATCTCACTCAAGGTAAACAAAACAATTTCTACTAGATATTATCATAAACTAACATATTCATCTCTTTCTTTCTTTCTTTCTTTCTCATTCCAGCTAGAGCATCATTTGCACAAGAACGAATCTATTTAGATGAACAAATTCGTTTCTCATCCAACAAAACAACTATGAATAATATGTATGTTATACCATTACTCTATCGTATATCATCGACGAATGATCATATATCAATCACTCGATTTCATCAGGCATTTCACAGTGTTATCACAAAACATAATATTCTTCGAACAGCACTATATATTGATGATACAAACGGTGCTATTAAACAACACTATTTAGATATTAATACTATTATCAATGATAACATGAGATCATATGGATTGACATTTGTTAATATTCATGATGCTGATCGTCATCTCGTGGATGAAATTATCTCAGAAATATTAAATCAAGCTGATTTATTTGATTTATCAAAAGGACGTGTTATTCGTTGTCATATTCTTTGTCACTCTCAATATTCTCGAGATAATGTCTCATGTGAGAATGATGACCTATTGTCTGAAAATGATTACATATTGATTAGTGTTCATCATGCAATGTTTGATGGAGCATCAACATCAGTCTTTCTTCGTGATCTTTCTCTTGCTTATCAATCTAATGACTCTTTATCTATGGTTGATAGCTCATTGAATTATATAGATTATTCTGTTTATGAACACATAATGGATATGACATTATCTCGTGAATTCTGGCATTCTCAACTCAATGAATATAATATCGAATGTTCATTATCACTACCAGTTGATCGACAACGTTCATCAACTAATCAACAGCGATCAGGTTTAGCGTCCACAGCTCAAATCACTTTTGATAATAAAGTATGCACATCATTTCTAAACTATGCATCATCACATCATCTCACACTTTTTCAACTTGGATTATCCATATTTTATGTCTTCCTATTCAAATTGACTCATGGTCAAACTGATCTATGTATTTCTTCTATCAATGCTAATCGATATCGAAGTGAGTTAGTGAATATGATAGGAATGTTTGTTTCAACATTACCATATCGTGTTGAACTTGATCCTCATTGGTCATTTGATGAACTTGTGAAACATGTACGAGAAAAATGTTTATCAATTCTTGAACATTCTCATTATCCATTACAACATATTCTTGGTGATAATCGATTAAATCAATTACATGTATCATTTCTTGAGACAATGTTTGATTTTATCAGTGTATCAAAAGATGTCGAACATTTATGTTTGAATGATACAAATTTAGAACAAGTATCATTGGAACAGTCAACTGAAATGTCTAAATTTGACTTTTCATTAACGTTTAATTACAATCCATTCTCAGACAATAAGAGATTATCATGTCGTTTTGTTTGTTCACATGATTTATTTGAAAAATCAACTATTTCACAAGTAGCTCAAAGATTTGAATATGTGTTTGAACAACTGTTTCAAACACAGTCAAGCAACGTTCCTGTGATTGATATGAGTTTATCGATTAACAAAGTGTGTCTTATTCTTCCCGAGGAAGCTGAAGAAATGGAATTAGTTGTGTTTTATCGATTGGAGAGTGTTGTCAATGAAGGTATGATTTTATGGAACTTCGTCTATTGTTTTCTTTTTCGTAGAGAAGAGTCTTACAAACATAAATTGTCTGCTTGATTGCTTGTGTGTCTGCAGGGTCAAAAAAAAAATCGAAGGCCGATTTTTTTGGGAAAGACATTTTAAGAGGTATTTCGATGCTGGGAATTCAAATATGCGCCTTATTTGCTCAGACTACTGAATGTGGGAGGAGGGGGAGTCAATTGAAAAAAGTGAAGCGGACTGATAGAAATCGAGTTTTTGGGTAATGCATTTTTATGGGTATCTAAATGTTCTCCTGCTTGCAGTGCAGAGTGTGATGATCATAAACTGCTGACTTTCTTACGTATAAGATTACTAACACTTCACATATTCGCTAAAGGCTAGTTCGACAAACCACGAGTGTCGACAGCTCAAATGTTTTGGTCCGCATTTACTTCTGAGTAGGATGCGAGTATGTGCTAAGAGTAAGGAACAACAAAGGAGAGCAAGGTTTTCAATTTTTTTCCGGTAAATGTGAAGAGGATGCATTTCTACGATAAAGAGCTAAGCGAGTCCTCGGACGAGCGTTACTTGTTTTATAAAAATAGTAGTCAGTTAAATCAGTAATGAGAACTATGCATTAAAGTGCATTACAATGTACAGATATAGTGTTTTCAGTTTTGAAATGATTCCTAAATAAATAAATGATGAGAAAATAGGGATTTGAATCAAGGTTCCGAATAGAATTTAGAAGAAAAATGTTTCTGTACACT